ATATATTAACATTTTTCAGAAATAAATATAACTTCTTTTATCCAATTAATGAATCCAATAGTGAATACATCTATTTTCATAACTTACGATTTGAAAAGGAATTTTATTTTTCATTCAATTAAAAGATTACTATTATCTTAAATGTTTAATATAACTATTTAAAATTATATAATATAAATATATAAAAATATAATAATAACTATTTAAAAAATATAACTATTTTTAATATTTTTAGCAAAAGAATTCTGAAAAAAAATTCAAAAAAAAAAGATGCTTATTTATTTGACAAATGTTTTGATCATATGCAGCCGAAATACGTGTTTCCGTTATAATCCAGTATATAGAACATAATTTGAAATAATCGATAATATAGTATATTTTAGTCTTTTTATTTCAGTTTCAATGAGATTGAATCTTTCTCTATTCGTTGATTCATTTTATCGGACGTTTCGCTAATATATTTGTTATTTACGAATTGAATAAATCAAATGTTCCTTAAACATATAAGAATACAATTTAAAAAATTTAATTTAAGGAATACATTTATGCATTTAATAATTATAAATATTTATTTATTCGATGTGAATCTTACTTCTGAATGGAATATTAAATAGTACATATAACAATGCGATATCGTTCATAGTTGTTCTGTATTTAGGATATAATAACTTGATTAATATCACTATTCAATATTTCAAATTCTTAATAAAAATTATATATTATACTGTCACGAATATTAAAATCACAAAATTGATAAAATTCTAATAATCTATCAAATTTCTGTTTCTGTTAAAACTGATTTTATGGTTCCATCAAATAAGATTTTCCATTATCTTTCAATCATATATCATAGTCATAAATAAAAATTATAACATAGTCATAAATAACTTGATATTATGTATTGATTTTTTCCGCGTTTATTTCATTTTTCTTTTTTTTTTTTTTTACGTTTTGCATTAAATATATTAGAAATGAAAATAAGCGTTTCTTTTAAATGATAAATATATATAATATATATATAATTCTAAATATATATATAAATATTTATGATTTGTACAATTGTTTGATAAGTTCCATCCATTAATTTCAAAATGGTTTTTCATGTCGAAACAGAAAACATTTGAGAGCTAAAATAACTAAAATGAAAAAGAAAGTCTTAATATTTATCAAAATCATGGTGAGTTATGTAAAATATATACATAAATTTATTCAGCTTTTATACATATCTATTCTTTCTTTAATATCTAATCTGACTACATTTAAAGAAAATGTCAATGATATTTTCATTGGAAAAGTATTAAATTTTAAAAGTTTAAGCTTTTTTAAATAATTACAAAAACATAATTGAAACGAGATAAAAATTGATCGGAATTTTTAGGGATATTTAGGAACAGATACTTTTTTTATTATTTGTATTATACTCTTTATTATTACTCTTATTTGTTTTGATCAAAACAAAATCATCTTTGTGCGAAATAAATAACTATAAAGAAGAAAATTTTTCTGCATTATAAAAAAAAA